AGAAGTCGAACTTACAAAGTATTAAAACATGTTCCCCTGCCTCAGTTTTCAGATGATAAAAATGTACCGCCCCACCCCCCCCGGGGATCACCACTCGTTCCTTCTCCTTTAATCCCCCCACTCCCTCCGGGACCCCCCCGCCCCGCCCCCACTCTGAACCCCATTCGTCACCGTTTTTTGCTTTTTTTTTCCTGCTCCACAAAATGGCCACCGCGCTGGATCCCTGTGGCCACGAGACCCGCTGCCCTAGAGTGAGTGCTAATTAGACCAGAACCATCCCAAGGCATCTCCAAGCCCGGGAACGGAAGAGGCAGGAGGAGAGGCAGGCGGGAAGCAACATGAGACTGGGTGCACAGGAGAGCAAAGGGGAGACGGGAGGCCGAGGGGAACTTTGAAAGCCTTCTTGTTGAAGGGCAGGAGGAGACAAGGCCCAGTTCTCGCGAGATCTTCGAGCCGGAGACTCCGGCATTCACAAAGAACCAGGGAAGGAAACTCAAACGGAACAGGACATCACTGGACACCCCCCTGCCACCCCGACCCCGCCCGGCGGGCTCCAACGCGGAACAATGAGGGGCGACGGCACTAAGTAGGAAATCTCGCGAAATTAGGAAGGCAGCGAGTAGGACATCTCGCGAGGTCGGGAAGGCAGCGAGTAGGACATCTCGCGAGGTTAGGAATAAACGCCAGCGCGACCTGAGGAGGAGGAAGAGGAGGAGGGAGTTGGCTGTGGGAGGTGCCCATGGCGACGTGCTTACGAGCGGCCGTGCGTACGTGCTGACGTAGCAGCCTTTGAGTGGCTAGATTACATCCGTGGGCCGCGCACGCACGCCATGCACTCCGGAGCCGCCACCGTTCTCGTGCGGGAAGGCGTTTGTGGCGAAGCTAACCCTCGCTCAGAGGCAGCGGCGGAAGACTCGCGGTCGCCGTACCCTTCAGGGATGAGTCATGTGGCGGTAGAAAATGCTGTTGGGCTGGACCAGCAGCTTTCGGGCCTAGACTTGAACGCTTCTCCGGAGAATCAGGCCGGAGGCAGCACGGCCAGCAAAGGCCGCTATATCCCTCCTCACTTACGGAACCGCGACGCGGCCAGGGCGTGTTACGACCGGGACGGTGTAGGGTGGAGCTCCGGTAAGGAGAAGGATGCCTACAGCAGCTTCGGGTCTCGTAGTGATTCGAGGGGCAAGTCCAGCTTCTTCAGCGACCGCGGCAGCGGGTCCCGGGGAAGGTTTGACGACCGGGGGCGGAGCGACTACGATGGCGTCAGCAGCAGCCGCAGTGACCGAAGCGGCTTCGGCAAGTTTGAACGCGCCGGGAACAGTCGCTGGTGCGACCGGTCGGACGAAGACGACTGGTCCAAGCCCCTCCCGCCGAGCGAACGCTTGGAGCAAGAACTCTTTTCCGGAGGCAACACGGGGATTAACTTTGAGAAGTACGACGACATTCCTGTGGAAGCGACGGGCAACAACTGCCCGCCACACATCGAGAGTTTCAGCGACGTTGAGATGGGAGAAATTATCATGGGAAACATTGAACTTACTCGTTACACTCGCCCGACGCCGGTGCAGAAACACGCTATTCCTATTATCAAGGAGAAAAGAGACTTGATGGCCTGTGCCCAAACGGGGTCTGGAAAAACTGCAGCGTTTCTCTTGCCCATCTTGAGTCAGATTTATTCAGATGGTCCAGGGGAGGCTTTGAGAGCCATGAAGGAAAACGGAAGGTACGGGCGCCGCAAACAATACCCCATCTCCCTGGTGTTGGCACCAACAAGAGAACTGGCAGTACAGATCTATGAGGAAGCCAGAAAGTTCTCGTACCGGTCTAGAGTCCGTCCCTGCGTGGTGTACGGTGGTGCCGATATCGGCCAGCAGATTCGAGACTTAGAACGCGGGTGCCACTTGCTAGTAGCCACGCCAGGCCGCCTCGTGGATATGATGGAAAGAGGAAAGATTGGATTGGATTTCTGCAAATACTTGGTGTTAGATGAAGCTGACCGGATGCTGGATATGGGGTTTGAACCTCAGATACGCAGGATAGTTGAGCAAGACACTATGCCTCCAAAAGGTGTCCGCCACACTATGATGTTTAGTGCTACTTTTCCGAAGGAAATACAGATGCTAGCGCGTGATTTCTTGGATGAATATATCTTCCTGGCCATAGGAAGAGTTGGGTCTACTTCTGAGAACATTACACAGAAAGTAGTTTGGGTGGAAGAACCAGACAAACGGTCATTTCTGCTTGACCTCCTCAATGCCACAGGGAAAGATTCACTCACCTTAGTGTTTGTGGAGACCAAAAAAGGTGCAGATTCCTTGGAGGATTTCTTATACCACGAAGGGTATGCATGTACCAGCATCCATGGAGACCGTTCTCAGAGAGATAGGGAAGAGGCCCTCCGCCAGTTCCGTTCCGGAAAAAGCCCAATTCTGGTGGCTACAGCAGTAGCAGCAAGAGGGCTAGATATTTCAAATGTGAAACATGTCATCAACTTTGACTTGCCTAGTGATATCGAAGAATATGTCCATCGCATCGGCCGTACAGGACGCGTTGGAAACCTTGGCCTTGCTACTTCATTCTTAAATGAGAGGAACATAAATATTACTAAGGATTTATTGGATCTTCTTATTGAAGCAAAACAAGAGGTGCCATCTTGGTTAGAAAACATGGCTTTTGAATACCACTACAAGGGTAGCAGTCGTGGACGTTCAAAGAGCAATAGATTTAGTGGAGGCTTTGGTGCGAGAGACTATCGCCAAAGTAGTGGTGCCAGCAGTTCCAGCTTCAGCAACAGCCGCGTGAGCAGCAGCCGCAGTGGTGGAGGTGGCCATAGCAGCAGCCGAGGGTTTGGTGGAGGTGGCTATGGAGGCTTTTACAACAGTGATGGATATGGAGGAAACTATAACTCCCAGGAGGTTGACTGGTGGGGTAACTGAGCCTGTTTTGCAGTAGGTCACCCTGCCAAACAAGCTAATATGGAAACCACATGTAACTTAGCCAGACTATACCTTGTGTAGCTTCAGGAGCTCAAAGTATATTACCAGCTGTGATTCTCCAAAGGGAAAAAAAAATTTGAGAGCTCAAGGTCACAAGAAAATATAAAAAAGGCACAATCAGCAGCCCTCTTTGGAAGGTGGTTTGAAAATTTATTGCGTTAGTTTGAATTAACTCCCCTCCCGCCTTACCCTCAAACTACATTTATAATTTTGTGACTGACAATCATTTGTTTGTTAATATACTGTGCCTTTAACTTTACACAACTTTTTATTTTGATATCTTGTTGGCTCAGTAATGCCCCAGATATCAATTGTTTTGACAAATTTGCTGAACTTGAGCTAAAATAAAATTTTAAAAAAAGCACCAAGTCTGAGATTGAATGTACTAGACTGAATGTACACTTCATGTGTTTTCATAAATACACAGGTTAAAAAAGCCCTTAAAATAATATCTATAACTTCATAAACTGACTTTAGTGCTATTTTTTTTTTGTCGATCATGGGGCTTGAACTCTGGGCCTGGGACAAATTTCTACAAGTTATATAATAGGTATAGGGTAAGCAAATAACTGTTGATTTTTTAAATTGGCCATAAACTTTCAAAATGCAGAGTATGTGTTTTTGTAATTAAAAGGTTAATTGATTTGGCTGGGGAGGTGGCTCAGTGGTAGAGTGCTTGCCTTGCATGCATGAGGCCCTGGGTTCGATTCCTCAACACCACATAAGCAGAAAAAGCTGGAAGCGGGGCTGTGGCTCAAGTGGAGCGCTAGCCTTGAGCTGAAGAGCTGAGGGACAATGCCCAGGCCCAGAGTTCAAGGCCCACAACCAACCCCCCCCCCCAAAAAAAAAAAGTTAACTATTTTTTCGGTTTTGAACTTTCACATTATTTTAAAACTCATATTCAATGCACTAACAAATGGTAACAAACATTTCATGGAAATAAGAGTTTTTGTTTGTTTTGGGGAATCTACTTAATACTGTGATCTCTAGGATATAGTAGATGCTGATCCGGTCAGTCCTGGAACCTGAACTGCCTGGTCCTGGGCACTGTCCCTGAGCTTTTTGCACAAGACTAGCTCTCTATTGCTAGAGCCACAGTTGTCCTTGAGGCTTTTTGGGTAGTTAATTGGAGTTAGGAGTCTTATGGGAAATGCTGAGGCTGGCTTCAAACCACTATCCCCAGATCTCACCCTCCTAAGTAGTTTGGATTACAGGCATAAACCACAGGTGCCCAGCTGTACTTTTATCTGAGAAAATTAGAATATGGATGTATATAATAAAAATATTGAAATAATTAAATGAAAAATGATAAAAACATAACTAAAGGGATCATTTGTGGGAGAGATGGAATAATTAAAACTAAACTTTTCTAATGTATTTTTTAAAAACAATTGCAACTTAGCCAGGTGCCAGTGGCTCATACCTGTAACCCTAGCTACTCAGGAGGCTGAGATCTGAGGATTGTGGTTCAAAGCCAGCCTAGGCAGGAAAGACTGAGAGACTCATACCCAGTAAACCACCAGAAAACTGGAAGTGGCGATGTGGCTCAAGTGGTGGAGTGATGGACTTGAGCTGAAGAGCTCAGGGACAGCACCCAGGCCCAGAGTTCAAGACCCATTACTGACCAAAAAAATAATTGCAACTTGTAAGGATTACCAGCTTTGCAATGTGTAAGGCCCTGAGTTCAAACCCCAGTACAGCAAGAAAAATAAACACATGAATAAATATTTAAAAATAACATTAAGAAAAAAATAGACCCTATAATTAAGAACAAACCAAAAACATAGTGAAGTGCAACATTAGTCACTGCAAGTAACTTCCAAACACCTATGAGATAAAATGTAAGTCTTAAAATTTGCTTAACATTTTTACAATTTTACTTTTCAGGTCTATACATACATTTTATTTCAGGCTTAAATACTGAAGTTAAGAATTGCTCTTTAACTGCAAGGAAAGGTAACATGCAAAGTCATTGGTTTCACATTCTCATAACAAAGGTTGTTTTTTTCCCCTCCCTGATCTCAAGATTATTGGTTCTACAGTAAGCCTGAGGAAATGAATTATTCAAAGTGACATGCTGAAACACTGAAGATGTATTCTGGTCTCTGTACAGCATCATAACCTCTGGTTGGTAATGTTCCTTGGTGCTCTTGTAACATACAATTGAGTTTAACTTTTTTGGAGAAAATTCCTGGTCATACCTTTAGGAGTTAGAATCTTTTCTGTCAGAGTAGTTGCTTTCAATAAGCAACACCATTTAAGGTTAGCCACATTCTTTTTATTTTTTTTTTGTTAGTCAAGGGGCTTGAACTCTGGGCCTTGGCGCTGTCCCTCAGCTCTTCAGCTCAAGGCTAGCACTCTACCACTTGAGTCACAGCACCACTTCTGGCCTTTTCTGTTTATGTGGTGCTGAGGAATCGAACCCAGGGCCTCATGCATGCAAGACAAGCACTCTACCACTGAGCCACCTTCCCAGCCCTTAGCCACATTCTTAACAAGAATTGATATTCTAGGGGTTGTATTTTCACTATTTTGCTGTAGATGTATCAGTTCTGAAATTTGAAACTGTAACTCAAATATTACTAGGATATAGAAAATAGCCATAAATATAAATTAAATCCAAGTTAAGAAAAACCATATGTTTAATTTCAGTTCAATTCACTATAAACTCAAATGGTGAAACAAACATAACTGCATCTACTTAAGGGACTGGAAGTAAGGATACTCTGAAGTGAGCACTGTGACCTTCCAGATGCTGGTTTCTAAGAACCATTCCCAACTAAGGAAGCTAGGGATTCATGGTAAAATGGCTGGATTCAGTTATGATACTGAAAGTACGAAGTGAGCCAGAGACTGCTTTAGGCTAGAGAGTGAAAGAAAAATCACTTAAAGTCAATAGAGTATTTCAGATGACAGGAATGTGTTTGAAGGGCCTTTTAACTGGTTAAATTCATGATTTGAGCATCAAAAACAGGTTTTAGCAGAGGAAAAAAATAGTAAGTCCAGCCTAAATTTCTGCCATTGGAGATAATTTATTATCCTAGCTATTTATTTTGAAAATAAGTAATCAAAGGAAAACAATTTCCTTTTACATAATTAAAGGAAAGAATTAAACAATGACTTTAGATAATTTAGGAAGAGCTATAGTTCCTTATAGTTAGTAAACATTTGTACAACAAATGTTTGTGTCACTGTCAGAATTCATAGGTTAAAATCATAACCCCCACATGTGATGAAGAGGTAAGGGCTTTTGAAGAAGAGCCCCTGTAAATGAGATTGATGCTCTTATAAAGAGGTGGCAGAGAGCTCTTTAGTGTGTCTTCCAACATGTGAGGATGCAACAGGAAGTCATCTGTCTGAAACCACTGAACCTACTATTAGTGTTACTTTGTTAACAGTAGCCTTCCTGATCTAAGATGTAAAGAAAAGTAGTTTATAGAAATACCAGAATATACATAGAAAAATGGATAGGTAGCAAACAGTCATTTGCAATCCTCAGGGATAAAACTGGTTTGTGCAAAAACCATGAAGAGTTACTGACATCCTTAGGTGAAGATCATCCTTAGGTGATTAGTATCACCTCACGTATGACTTCTGAATTTTATGGAGATAGACATACTTGAAAAAGTGGAAGAAATGGTGAATACCATCCTAGCCAAGCCATCAAATAAATATCTTGATTGAGAGAGCCTATATTATGAGTGGGACAGCTCTCCTAATGGGTAGGAAACAGCTGTATAACATCACATGTAAAGTATTCTCCGAGTTCAGCCAAGCCATAAGACATAAATTCTAGAGCATTGAGAAACAAAGGAGATAAAAATTGAGTTAAACAAAACAAAAATCTAAAATGGTACATACGTGAATAGTTGAGTTTCTTAATAAAATAGGTATTTATTAATAAATTTGGTATGGTGGTATATAACTGTAATTCCAGCACTGGGGAGCTGGAGGAAGGAAGATCATGAGTTTGGGCTACAAAGAAATCCTGTCTTAAAAGAGAGAAAGAATATACAGTTCAGTGGGAAATTGAAGATTTCCATATAAAGTACATTAGTCCAAGGTGCTATCGTGAAAGTTAACAAGTTCCATTTTCCTCCTCCTTCCAAACCAATCTGATTGTGCTGCAGACATATTTTACCTTAATGAGTACTAGATATTGTATATCTACAATTTTGAGCTTTGTTCTGGAACAGAATTACTTGTAAAGAGATTGTTTCAAGTTTTTAAGATGTGTTAGAAATATGTTCAAAATAGTTCAAATAGTGGAGAATAATTAGCAAGGGAGAGAAGAAAAGATAGGCGGGAAAGGGAGAAGAGTTGGGAAGGAAACAGTGTTTCTCAACCTTTTCACTGCTGCTTCCCTAAGGAGAAAATGTACATTAAAATTCCAACAAGAGAAACAGAAGAAAAATTTCAGGTACAACTGTAATGTGTAAGATGTTTCATATCCTTTGCCTTCTCTTACTAAGAACCCATTTTTTTCCCACCATGATGTCTTTTCTTCCTTCCTTCCTTCCTTGCTCCCTCCCCCCTCTCTCTCTTTCTCTCTCTTTCTCTCTTCCTTCCTTCCTTTCTTTCTTCCTTTCTTTCTGTTTTTTGTGTTTTTTTTTTGTTGGTTATGAGGCTTGAACTCAGGGCCTGGGAACTGTCCCTGAACTCTTCTGCTTAAGACTAGCAAACTTTTGAGCCATGAGTTCTCATGGACTTACCTGCCAGGGCTGGGTTTGACCCGCGATCCTCAGATTTCAGTCTCCTGAGTAGTCACAGGTGTGAGCCACTGGTGCCTGGCTCAGGGTGTCTTAATACTAAAAATGTTCCTATTTTGGTAATAGAGGCAAATTTAATATGTTCCATATAGTGAGTGAAAGTGTGAAAATGATGGAACATTCACAAAACCCTCCACTTGGTTCAAGGCCTACTGAAAATACTTTCACAAACATT